TGCTGACTTCCCTTGCCACAGGCTTACTTCAGAACAGCACATGCATTGCTCATTCCTTTTTTTCTCTAGTGTTCTGCAACAGATACACATTTCAAGATATATTTTTCATACCCATTTTTTTTTTCTGGCAACCCTTCTAAGGTATATCTCTGCTTTCTCCATTGATGCCCCAAAGCAGAGTGCCACCAACCTATTTATATCAGAGTCTTGTCCAAGGCATTCAATGCTGAGAGTGTTTGATAAGTATATTTTTAGATCTACTTACATGAACCAGACATCCACCTTTGGACCATATTTCCTATGAGCAAGGAGTTCTGGGGCAGCATAAGCTGGGCTTCCACACTGGGTATGTAACAGCTCCTGAGAGAAACCCTCAAACCTGGCAGTATTGCTCAGTCCGAAATCTGACGTTCACAAAAACAAAGGCAAAGACATTTTAGTCTCTTTGTGAATTGGTTCAAGATAGGAGAAAGATGAAAAGATGAAAGATGAAAGATGAAAACAGCAGCTGGCTTTAGCATCTGGTGACATCTGAGCTATGGATTCCAATTGGGGCTTGAATAAACGTGCCGTGAATTAGCAGAAGGAACAGAGAAGTTACCCAGCCATGGGGCCGTACGCCTGCGTTGGTTGATTCTGGTTTAGCTATGTTAGTCTGCCTCAGTTGATGGTATGCTGGTACAAGAGCTTAGCTATGCAGCTGCATTAGCATGGCTTAATGAGCTACAGCATTCAGCTCAGCTGGGTGTGCTTTAGCCAGTTCTAAATGTGGGGGGAAAATGTGCAAACTTAAGCCTTTTTCTCTGTACATGTGCATATGTGCAAGGGGGAGGTAAGAGAAAGGTGTGATTGTAAAGGACTGGCTGGCTATAAAACAGGGGTGAAGAGTTGGTGCCTTTTTTCTTAGAGGTGTTAAGCTTTTAAAAGTTTGGGAAACGCTGGGTTAAACATGTGGCATCTCTAAGAGTGAGTTTCCCTTGCGGGGATTTTTCTGTGCGGTTTCCATAGAATAAAATTAATGTTTCTCTGAGCTGTGTTAACTGCTTGGTGCAAATTCCCTCATTTTTATAAATGTTTGCTTCACAACCCTAGCAAGGTTTTTGTTAGTGACCAAAAAAGACTTCTTTTTTTTTACACATACCCAATGATGAGGTTTCTAGTTGGATAAATGACTTGACAGAAGCTAATGTGTCCATACCTGCACCCCAGAAGATTTATTTCTTTGTCTACAAATCACTTCAGCTAGGAACAGCTTTCTGCACATAAAAGCTGTAATTGTTTCTTGCTTCTCCAGCAATACACAAGGGAAAACAATAGGCAAAATTGTTTTCCTTGTTCTCTTAAAAATATGTTTTAGTTAAAGCTCAAATAAACAAGCTGTTAAGTTATACTTCATAACTTTTATTTATTCTAAAAGCTCGAATATGTTTATTGAATAATCACAAATGCACTCATAAAATGTGCTGTTCAAATTGTAGCTGAACTGTCACTGAAAGCCACACAAAATAAAAAGCTGAAAACAAGCTTCACAGATAACGTGCACTTACCAACGATTTTGATGTTGTCGTTCTTGACAAGAACAAAATTTTCAATTTTTAGGTCCCTGAAATGAAGACAGAAAGCAAACTTTAAGATGCCCGATGTCCCAGCTAACCATTTGCAGATAGTTTTTAGCAAAGTTTAATTGAAATAATAACAATAGTTCTGCACAGCTCTGCCTACAATTGTAACAGGATCCTCACTCGTTCCTGAAGTTTTCAGTTGGGAAAAAGGAAACTTGCTGTATTTCAGGGAATATCTTCTGAGTATATATTTTAAATAGACTGTTCATTTTAGGAATAATCTGTTCTACTCATGTATTTTTTTTTTAAAAAAAAAGAACAGCATTTATTTCTTCTTTTGAGTGAAAAAGAAAGTTGCGCATACTTGGACGCGGAGTGGTTTTGTCTTTGTGTTTAATACAGAGCACTGTTGAGTATTTCTGCTTGCTTTGTGAGTAAATCGTGCCTGAGAGATATGAAGGATGAGAAGGGAACTGGAAAGTAAGACCTTCTGGAGGAGGGAAGGTGTACCAAAGCTGGGCTGGGGACAGATACCCTGAAGGTGGAGACATCTCCGCAGTGATGTTTCTGTAAACAGGGTCAACCAGTATCAGCCGCCCCCACAGGAGGACGTAATTCAGAGCCGCAGGAAAAATGTTGTTAGCTGGCTCAGGCGCTTACTTGCTTATTGTGGGAACATTTATATCCTTACAAATTCAAACCAAAAGCCAGAATATTGCTCCGCTGTGGGGAGCGCCTGAAGTGGCAGCTGAAGTCTTTCGCAGCGCGGGGGAATCCTCAGCCATAATTTGGGTGTTGGGAGGCAGTCCAGGAGCCTGCAGTGCTTTGCTGGCTCCCATCACAGCCTCCTGCGTGCCACTGGGGGCTTCCCTCAGCTCTGTGGGGGACGCGGGGAGACAGAGCAAGTTTCAGAAGCAGCTCCAGATCTGTGGATTTCCCTCCAGCCCTCTCTGAAGTTGTGAAGCACTTTCATCAACCCAAAGACCTTGGAGAGTACAGGAAGACAAACCAGAAGGAGTGATGGGAAGAAGGACAGGAGCAAAGAGCAAGGGCTGGGAGGACTGGTGCTGCACGAAGAGCACTGCACTGCTGCAGGGGATTAAGTCCGGAGGTGTACCCGCTGGTCCTGATGGGTGGGTTCATGAGAGTGTCCTTTTATCCCTGTGCTTCTGGATGGGACAGCATTGCACTCAAAACCCTCTGCTGCCCCACGCTGAGAATGGGATGGAGATGGTTTTAATGATAACTTTTTAATTGGTTTTAATTCAAATAGCATGCTTTCTAGAGTGGCAAATAAGCCAGTGCCCAAAAGCTGGGAGGTAGATTTAAGATAACTTTGTTCATAGCCTGTCCCTGTGACATAAGCCTGTGCACTAAAACTGTGTGGTTTAAAACTTGTTGTGTTTCAGGCCACTGCAAATCTGACATTGCTATTGGATTTAGCACCCCACAGTGCACTCTGATGACTTGTACTACACTGCAATTAAATAATGTTACATTGGATTGCCACAACTGCTGTTCTATAGGCTGAGCCAAGTGCTCATGCAGTTGATAAAAAGGTATGCTTTCTCGCCTGAAAAACCTGATAATGGTCACTATTAAAGTTTACGTAGTGTCAGAAGTTATCTTGCATCAAAGATGCATCTTTTTCTTTTTTTTCCAAAGGAAACTTCCCCAGAAATGTTCTAAGTTTAAGCAACATCATGAATTTTTTTCTTATTCCCATGGGGATGTCATAGGGAGTGCCTAGAGGACAGCTTGTGATGCTTCTCCAGGTCTTTGGCCCAGTAGTGATTCAAAAGGATATATGACATTTTTATATGGGAGAAGGGAAAATATCCAGGACAAATTAGGAACTGTACATACAAGCAAGTTACTTTCACTTAGCAAGCACCAGCTTCAGGAGTTGGTAGCTGACTGCGTGCATGCCCAATCCAATTGCGAGGTAAGGTGATTTGTCTTATACGTCTTTATTTTAGGTTTCTAAGCTCAGATGCTTTACCTCACCACTTGGCCATGTCTAGAGCAGGCGTAGGGATAGTTAGCAGAGGTCAGCTGGTGAGTGTTAGTTTGTGAAGCTGTTGAACCTAATCTTGTGCCTGAGCCTTCTTGTGTCTGGCAGATTAAAATGCTGTGTGCTGGGTGAATAGGCAAGTGAGTCAATCCTCCGTCTTCTTGATCATTTTGGCAACTGTGGCATCAAAATCAACCGTGATCTTGCAGGGACGAGAAAGGTACTACCTTTGCTGTGAAAAGTAGACTCAACCTTAATTAAGCCATAAGGATTTGTTGGATCAGTGCTGATTTTAGTGCTGAGTAGGAAAAATAAAGCTCAGGAAACAAAATAGCTGTCAAAACATAGCACAGGATTTCTGATGAGCGCTACTAATTTGGACTAAAAATAGTTACAAAACTGGCCAGTTTTTCATCAAGAATATTATGAAGAAAATAGAAAATGCTGTTTTTCTGAGGTATATCCCAGGGTTAAAAATCGAGAATGCCTGTAAGACACTTCTGAGCAAAGATAAATTAGATTAGCAAATTCTTAAGCTTATCACTTAGGAGTGAGACTTTGCAATCACAAGGCGCCTCCATTCTAGTTTACTAAAGAGTCCCCAGGCACAGACCCAAGCATTGGCACACAATTATGCATCTTGTGAAATTATTACCATGATACCTTGTGTGATTTTACCAGGACCCTCCCCAGCAGTGTCCTGACACCCATGGGGTGCTGGGGTAGAGTGGAGCAGCAGCCATTCCCACCAGGCAGTTTGGGAACCCTCCTTCCCTTATGTTAAAGCAATGCAAAGAGTTGAGTTTTGCTCCGTGCTTAGATGAGAAAATCAGATTGACTTTGTGAGGTAATTTTCCTATTTCTGTGCTCATTTTTATGGAAACTTTGATGCCTTCTTTTCAGAAGAGGATACACCCGCAATTATCCTCATTGCCATAAATCACTGCAGCTTGAGCTGAGCGAGGAAGCTCTTCCAGATCCTTCCCAGTCTGCTTCTGGTATTAGGTTGAGGCCACAGCTCTAAATCTCAAAGCTAGCAGCAGGTCATGGGTTGAGGTACTGCTGGCTGAACCTATGCCTGTGACCTAGCGAGGCAGGTGAGCTCCTGCCAGACCATGCAACTTCATAAACCCTATGGCAAGGCGCTTGAGAGACAGGGATGATTTTTCCTTTGGTTAGGGGGGTTTGATAGTAAAGCAAGTCTCTGGAGGAGCTCACAGTACTTTGTACCTGGCTGCTCTGAGGGTGTGCAGCAAAATTCTTCTCTCTCAAAGCTTTCCCAGCAAAATGATACCAACAGAAAAGTAGGGGAAGAAGTTAAGCTACTCCCCTGCTCTCCAGGAAGTGTTGTTTGCAAACAAAAAGAAGGGAAGAAGGCTTAAGAAATTAATGAGGAATGTTGTCATGGGAAGAACATAAATGTTGAGATCATGGGCACTGAAGAAATGCTGTAAAATAGATTAATCAGGGAACCAGCAAGACAGGGATGTTAGCCTGGACTAAATGGGTGAAGCTCCTTGGGTTTACTTTCTGGTGTTTTGGGGGTTTTTTATTTGTGTCAATTCTCTAGGTCAGGTCTTATTTCTTTCTTGCCCATTCTTTATTAATTAACAAATCCAATATAATTAAGTGCTGGATTGCAAACATTTCAAGTCACAAAGCACTTGTAAATGCTGAGCCATCACATTTACAGATTATTTGTTTCATGGTTGCTGTAATGATACAGTCAACTGGACTATTTGCTAGGTCCTGAGAGCTTTCTTGATGAGTGCATTTACCATTTAAAATTAAGGATCTGATTGACTGTGAATTACTAAGTAAAACAGGAGAACAGTGGGAAAAACTGCTTCTTGCTTATTCTCCCACCTAAAATGGAAGTTCTTATTCTGCTGTTCTTGGCATATGTGCTGAGATCCGTGGTGGGGGGAAGATCAGCTCTCCTTGCATGGGCTGCTTGGGTTCCTCTAGCAGTGGCTGAAGTTGTAATCTGTCCCCGTAATGCAAAAGCCAGTGTGGAAGGTCAGCGACCTGCCACAGACCTGGACCCACAGGACCATGTCCTCTGCGCAAACAGTGAGCTGTGGTTCCTCAGTCTTCTGTCCTGAGTGATGTGCGTTTTTTTCTGTACGTTGTGGCTAACCAAATGAAATCAATATTTATATTCATAGCCACACTGAAGTATTTGAATTAGATACACGTTTGTCACCAGCTAATTCTGAGATACTCATGCAAAGTATTAATTTGTTGCACTCATCAGCTCTTATCCCTGGTCTTTGTTACTTCCCAAGGAGTGTGTAACAGCTTATCATCTACCACCACTGCGAATAAAATGTTTTATTAAGGTGGGCTGAGAGAAAATAGTCTTCTTTGCAATCCCTGTTTTTACAAGGGAAAATTAAAGAAATGCTCTCGGTGAAGAAGATGACTCTATGTTCTTGCACACTTTCTTTTCTTACTGTTCTTTGGAAGGGGGTAAACATCTTACCTGTGAACAATCCCCTGGCAATGCAGGTGCTCTACTGCAGACAGAATTTGCCTGGTGTATCTCCTTACTTCCCTTTCCGCCAGCCTCTTTTTGTCACAAATTCTGTCCAGGAGGTCCCCGCCGAGGCACACCTCCATCACCATGTAACAGGAGTTGTCAGTCTCCAAGGTCTCGTATAGCCGAACAACATTAGGTTGCTTAATCATCTGGTGTACCCATGGCTCGCGCTTCATATTTTTTAAAAAGTAAGAATCCTGCTTGGCTTTTCTCTTGTCAATGACTTTTATGGCTACCTAAATTGCAGGATATATTCAAATTGGCAACAAGCTTTGCAACCTAGACGAATTTTCAAAAGAATGGGGAAAAAGCTGACATGTGGGAGAAGCTGGTTTTGATGTGATGTTGATAAAGAGAGTCACAGAGGGAGACGTTCTCAATGGAAGAGCCCAATTTTATTTCTCTTGAAAGCCAAAACAAGAAGGCTGAACTATCTATCCATCTGATTGCATTAATAAATATGCATATATGAAATGTTCTCAAGTGCAAAAAATCCCTACATGCTTGACTGTTAACTGCATCTGTATCGTACCATGTTTTTTTCTAACATGCTCCCTTCTGACTTGGCCTAAAAACCATTAAGATATAGGCTATAATGGGCTGGGATTAGGGCCTTTCCAGTTTGGGCAGCTAGTCAGCCAGTGAAGCTACTGAAGCCATAAGAAAAGTAAAAATCAAAAAGCCAGTTGATAGTAATCCACCTTTCCACCGTTACGTCTAGTGGTAGGTTATTTTAGCCCAACTGAGCTAGAGATAACAGATGTTATCTGTATCCCGCCATATAAACGATTGCTGTTGGAATGGCTGACTTTTCAATAAGTGTTGTCCATGGCTTTAAAGGTCAGATATATTGCACTAATTACTTGATGACGATTATTGGGGAAAGCAGATTTGAAATTGTCCTTATGCCATTATCCTATTCTCTTTCAGTGTGAGGATATCTTTCTTGTCTATATTGTTTTATAATTGGGAAAACAGTTGCACTCAGTACATATTCACACATGTGATTGATTATACATGAGCAATAAACTCAATTTATGAGGTTAATTTATGAGGATAAGGTTCAGAGGATAATTCACTGAGTAGATTGTGGTTTGCAGATTAAATAAGTTAGTGTGAGGTTACTTGTGATTCCCAGCGCATCATACCCTCTCATTAGGAGCTTACCTTCTCCCCCATGGGGATGTGCAGCCCCTCCATCACCTTGGCAAAGGAGCCCTTGTTGATCATTTTCCCTACTAGGTAATTCCCAACTTGTTTGGAGTGAGGCAAAGTCTTCCCAGTCTCTTGGGGCATCTTGTTAAAACAAGCAGGTATCTTTATATCCTTTGTTTTTCTCTCATTCTGGTAATATCCTATCCAAGTTGCCAATATCTGTCATTTTGTCATCCAACCCTGCTTTCATTGCTGTGGGCGTCCCTGGAGAGCCAGGTTTGTGTTGCTACTTTCCAGATGTAGCTTCAGATTCACAGCAGATCCAGGCATTAAATCTGTACATCTCGTGGTACAAGTGCCAGCCCGCTGATCACACAGACACTAATCCTTTCCCTCCGAGACTCCCTGTTTGCCACTGATCTCTACCCTGGGCACACAGATCTGCTCAAGCAGAACCGAGTGGGACATTATTAACCTAACCTGATATGTGATGCTGGTTAATGCCCCAGAGCTGCTGATTCAGATGACACGGAATCCCAGCATTAGCCTGGAATTTACAGGTCTCTTCCTCCTTCCATAGTTCCCTAAACAAGTTGCACCAAACTAAACCGAGCCCCAGTTTTCCTTGCATGCATATTGCTGGTGTGGGAGGGCACACCTTATTCTAAAAACACGATGGTACCTGGCATGAATGCAAAGCTGAGTTACGTACCTGGTGCTGCACAAGCATTTACACATTTGCTGTGTAAAGCATATAAATATATATGCACTTGTAGCGCATTTAAGTCTCAGGGTCCTGGCCTGATTCCAGGTCAGGTCTCCTGCATTTGCTGGGACTTGATTCCTGTTCTGTAAAGCGTAGCAGCAGGAGCACAGAGAGAGAGAGAAAACAAGAGAGCTTTTTCCTCCCTACAGCAATGACTGTTAAAAAGAAGAAAAGAGTGGGGTTTTTTTCTACAGCTGTTGTCTATCTATATCTGTCTTCATTACCTGGGTTCTTTCCAAAGTCACGGAGAGAGAAAAAAGCCTTTCCAGAGAGTGCTTTCACATACCTGCAATTTGAGCCGGGAGTGACCATCTCTCTCCACTGACTACAGCGGAATCTTGGGGAACCAAAGCCCTTCCCATAACTCAGAGCAATGACAAATCCTTTCTCCACCCTTTGTCACTTGGAGCTGAACAGTAAGCGGCATCCTCCTTGCCTGAGTTGACCTGTGAATCTCACGAAGGGTAAAAATCTGCCAGGATGAATGAAAATGAGAAGGAATTTTAAGAAAAGTGTTTAAAATCCCAAATGGATTTACTGTACGCTTCACAGTTCAAACTCTTGTGGGAGAGTTCAATGCATCGCCATCTGCATGCAGCTGCTTGCAGACACAGGACAACCCCTTGAGTTTTAGTGTCTAAGTCAAAGATAAAGTCCCGCTAAGCTGAGCAGGTTTCATCTTCGCAACATACTCAGTTGTCACACATCGAGCTGTATCAGTTGCTGTATCAGCTGCTGTATCATGGCGCTTTGTTTGCTATCTTAAGTGCCTTTTTTCTATTCCTTATGGAAAGCCAGAAACAAAGGAGACATGGTTTTCTGAGGGAAGAATGAGGAAATTCTCCCTGATTTGCGCTCACTATTTGCTCTGCCTCCTTCCCGTCTTCCTAAACCACTGTTCATTCACTTTCCCACTAAAAACAAGAAAACAAAAGTGAGGGGAACCCCTCTATGGAACAGAAACTCCATATTTCTGGCACATTTCAGAAGAAAGGAAAAAACCTCTTTAAACATATAATAAACACTTAAAACCGGCTGAGAGAATTGGGGTTGTTCAGCCTGGAGAAGAGAGGCTCCAGGGAGACCTTATAGCAGCATTCCAAGAAAAGCCTACAAGAAAGCTGGGGAGGGGCTTTTTATAAGGGCATGTAGTGATAGGGGAAGGGGCAATGGCTTTAAACTGAGAGAGAGTAATTTTGGCTTAGATATAAGGAAGAATCTCTTCACTATGAAGGTGGTCAGGCACTGGAACAGGTTGCCCAGAGAAGCTGTGAATGTCCCATACATGGAAGTGTTCAAGGTCAGGTTGGAAGGGGCTTTGAGCAACCTGGTCTAGTGGAAGGTGTCCCTGCCCATGGCAGGGAGGCTGGAACTAGACGATCTTTAAGGTCCTCTCCAACCCAAACCATCTGATGATTCTATGATAGCTAGCTAAGTTAACTATTGCTATTTTTGGGGAAAGTCCCAGCCTGACACCTTGAAAAATGTAGAAGTCAAAAAAGCCTCCAAACACCTTTCAAAGTAATTTTTTTTGGCACAGTGGAGGATTAAAAATAGGAGGCAGGGCAAAGGAGCAAAAGAGAGTTGACCTCTGTATTAGGGAGTCCATGGCTACTGATCACAAGTCAAATGAAGCTGAAATCCTGGATGAGAAGGGAGCCGTTTGCCAGTGCTAGTGGTGTCCCTGCTCTGTGATATGGCTGCTATGGGATGTGCTGCATTGCAGTGTGGAAGAAGTGTGAGAACAGACCTAATAAAGCAGATCTCTGACAGAAGAAAGGTGATAATAAGGAATAATGTCCAACGAGGAGGAAGGGTTAGGACCACAGAAGGAATGTCCACCTCAATGACTTAAAAAAACTAACAGCCCTCCTCCCCAAAAAGCCCCAGGCTAAACTGTTGCATATCTTTACCACTTTGCACTCTTTGGGGGGTGGGAGAGGAGGCAGTTCTGCTGCCTTGAGCAATAAAAAAACTCAGACAAAGAAACCCCCAGATCTGAAGAAGGTATGTAGTTTTCCTATCAGCAAGTGAGAAAAAGGGTTTTATTTAAACTGGAGACTAATTCCAGGTTTGTTTTTTTTTTATCACTCCATATTCTTAGTGCCCTTCTAGGGAAACTGAAATGAAAATTGTTTCCCGCGATATCTGTGCTACTGATCCAGAAAATATGAGGCTGTGTGTGTGCAGAAATCAACTTTATGTGAAGACCAGGCTAGTTAAACTACCTTATTACATCCAGCAGAAATAAAACAGCATGAGCAGGAATTTGTCACTTTGCAGCCACCATCTTGGATTTCCTCCTGTGAAGCAAAATCCTGACTGTAGCTGTATCCAAAGCTTTTCTTGTCTCACATTAGAGATGAGGCAATGTGGTTGTGGTTTCTGGGTTTTGCCATTGCAGAATGAACTTGGCTTAAGGAGAGGCTGGGTTTTACTTCTTGGAGTAATTCTTTTTGAAGTCCTAATTTATACTCTTGTGAATACCGCCAGTTTTGTAAGATCTAGTGTGAGATTTTTCAAAAGGATGAAAAAGTCAGATTCTTAGAGCTGTAAAGTCCCACTGATTGGGCTCAAGAGTTCACCCAAAGCCCGGCTCTTTGTGGTCGCAGAGCACATGCCCTGCTTAAAGGTGTGCTTTCCACAGGCATCAGGGGCATGGTGGAGGGCTGGTGAGGGGCTGTGTTGCTGTCGGGGAGCAATGCTGCGGTGGTCTGGGAGACAAGGCTTGTTAGTCAGGAAGCAGCATCCCACTGGAGACAGGTCTCCTCAACTGGGGGGCAGCATCCTACTCTGAGGGCAAAGGTCAGCCTCTCCTCCTGGATCGACATTGTCACAGGGATGTACCAGCACACGGCAGAATTAGCGCAAACATCTCTTTTCCGAGAGTGGTGCTTTAATGCACACATATTCGCAGGTGCTTTGGCAACTCTCCCCACTCCCTTGACTTTTGACTTTCCCACTAACTGCTGCTGTCTGCTGCATGAGGTACTAATGGTGCTGGCTTAGGTCCTGAGCTTGGCCTGCTTTGGAGGACTAGAAGGTTGCAAACAGTTCATATTCCCACGTGGCTTAGGTTACCTAGGTGTAGGATGTGGGCTCAGCAGCTCCTTTAAAAACTGAAAACTTCTCAAGTTTCACGCTGAGAGGGGGGATTTCCTTTTCAGAGAAGGAAATCCAAGATGGTGGCATCTAAATGTGGTGAATGGAGTAAGTAAGGGGAAAAAATGGTTTGAAGACGTGGTAGGAGGAATTTCATCTAAATAACAACCTCACAGTCTGTATTGTAATAACTCTCAGATCCTGGAACTACTTCAGTCTGTGTTTTATAGCATACCTAAGACATGCCCTTATTGCACTGTAACACCTGCCTTCTCATACGCTTTTTGGCAGCTATGGAGTTTACTTTAGAACTTACTGCATATGCAAGTTCAGCAGCTTTTCTGCAGGATTTACTTACTGCCACGTGTTAAGGGGTTAAGAAGGCATGCACTCAAGGGCAGGCCAGACTCTCCTCCCAGAATGGTGTAAATCAGGGATTACTCCATCGAAAGTCATAGTACTTCCTTAGTCAAAGAGGTTACTATTCTTCACCACCAAGAGACCAGTGGAATCAGAAGCATATGGGTTATTTTCTCGGTATCGATCTTGTCCAACACTCACACAGGCGATGGGAATATTTCTTTTGTCTTCATAAGGAGTTGGATCAGGCTGTAAAAGTGCGAAAGACTTTGTTCTCCATAATATATTAAATTTTAATTCATCTAAGTGTATTTCCAAGATATCACTTGGGAACATGTTTCACACACACAGTCCACATTGCCACTAAATTTATATCTGATTCTGCACTGATTCCTTAGGTTTGCTGTTAAATTAAACCAAAGATGAATAGGTTTACATTGCAGATAGTCTTTGTCATTCTGCCATGCAATATATGCTTACCAGATTTGCAAAAAGTTTCTCATGCATGTGGATATTTATTTTCAGGTTATTTTCCATTTCTAGGAAAGAAATCTTGCACCTTTTATTAATCATCCATGGGTACTGATTCATGGCATGTTTCATGTCAGACCTGTATTTCCTCCAAATGAGGGTCTTTGCTTCTCAGGCATATTGACAACTTTGATCTAATAACCCTTACTTGGCTCCTTGAGGTAGCCTTTATAGTTTCTTTCATATTTCAGTATTGTATCTGGTTCCTGAATGTATATAAGAATATCAAAAACAAAAATCATCCATATTGGGTCAGACTGAAGGTCTGTCTAGTCAGTGTCCAGTCTTTGAGTGTGGCCAAAACGAGATACCTGGAGTCAAGAATGTCAGGTGAAACCTATATGATACCTCCCAGTAATACATCCCAGCTCCAACCACTTGC